GAGTTTATTTCAGCATACAGTTCCAGGTCACAGTCCATCCTGAAGCGAAGTCAGAGTAGAAACCTGGAGGCAGAAACTGAAGCAGAAGTCATGGAGGAACACTACCTAATGGCTTGTTCCTGGGCCTTACTCAGTCTGTTGTCTTATATAATCCAGGACTCCCTGCCCAGTGGTAACTCTCCCAGCCATCTCAGCCCACCCACATTAATCACTAGCCATGAAAACGCACTCCTGACTAGCCTGCAGGCCACTCTATGGAAGCATTTTCTCAGTCAAGAGTCCCTCTCCCCAGATGACAGCAGTTTGGGTCAGCTGACAGGAAACCAACCATCACAGCGAGTGTCACAACCCCCCTGCACCTTCCACCCCACCCCACCCCTGCACACGCACCTATGTCCTCCCATGTCATTTGGAGTGTAAGAAGAATCTTTCCTGTGTGAGCCAAGGCCCTTCAGATCGCTCTAGAACAGTTCAGAGATAAAGCCTCCAGTAGCCAGGCTGTGTCTATCCTCCTTCTTAATTCCTATCTGGATCTGGCTAAAAGATCTGAACAGAAGTGATGAGCAGGGATTAGTTTTTCTGGGTCTTTAAAGTATGCATACTGCCAAACAACAACATGAAGATCTGGCATCATATCTTTCATTTTCTACTCCCTAGTCTGGATGGACCTCTGGAGAGGAGTCAATCCAGGGCTGGCAATGGTGTCACTTATTAGGAACTGCCTCGTGAGTAGTAAAGGAGATTCATTTTTGGAAACTACCTCAAACCTGATTTCAATCTCAGTGGCGGCAGAACCCAGTCTTCTCTGTAAAGTCAAATGCAATGAAAAGCCATGTGTAAAGGGGAGGCATCCGACACACTAAGAATCATTTTGTACCAGTGCACACATATCTTGACAAAGAGGAAGGACATTTGCTTTTGCAGCACCCACTGGGTTTGGGCATGGATTGATTGACAGACAGTTTTGCCACTTCCTCCCCCACCCTCATTTCAGCAAGATCCCTGCAGAACCAGTGCTCTATCCTAGATCCACAGTCCATCTGCTCTAAGGTCTTGGCTGCTCCTGTCACAAAGGACTTGCCTCCAGCCTCATGCTGCTGTGGTCACTGCTTCTGGTCCTTGGTAAGTAGGATGCTGAAAAAGACCTGGATTGGTGCCAGGGTATAACTACCTCTGCCTGGGTACCCCTAGACACTTTTCCTAAGCGTATGTCTCTCTGCCAGGATGCAGAGGGCTGGGGTATCTGCTTCTGATCCAGTACTGTCAGGGATAATGCCTGACAAATGGGAACTGAGCAAAGCAGGGTTCCCAGAAAAAGGAAAAGATGTGTGTGTGTGTGTGTGTGTGTGTGTGTGTGTGTGTGTGTGTGTGTCCTTCCTTACTAAAGGCTGGTGATTTGTCTCTGTTATTTCTGTTTGATCTCTAGGAAAACAGTAAATTTTCATTCAAAGAGCTTCCATGGAGTTCTCTGTTAGAGTGAATGCCATGCACAGCCTACATTAATTTTACACCCCAAGGCCCAGTCTCTACTGCAAGAGTCACCATTTTTGGCTCAACTCTTACCTCCACAGACTGAGACATTGCATAGACTTCAAGTCTTGGTAGCCATAATGGATATCATAGGTTGTGCCTATCAATAAGACTCTTACACAGCCCCACTCACAGTAATAGGTCTAGAATGCAGAAAGCAGAACTGATGTCTATTAAACATGAGCAGACCCTGTGTTTCTTTGTGGCCCTCCCTGGCATCTAGGATGCCCCTCTGTAGTTGATTTCTCTTAAGCAAAATAATCTGGACAGCTTAAAGGTAGAGCCTCCAAGTTGGCTATCCAATACCAACTGGTGAGCCATGAAATCATATACATACATGTAACATTATATGGACTGAGCAGGTTGTATTATATATAGATGTACACACATACACACACACACAAACACACACACATGACAATTAGAAGTCATAAATTTAAAAAATAGCAGGAAACACATGGTGGAGTTTGGGGAAGGAAAGGAAAGGTAGAAAAAAATATAATTATGTTTTAATTAAAAAATAAAAATATTTAAATAAAGAAGGTAAAAGAGGAGATAATAAATGAAACTCTTTGAAGATTTGCCTGCAAAACACAAACTTCTGGGAATGGCCAAGGACTGCTCATAATGTGCTAGGAATGATAAAAAATGAATCTTGGGTTCCATAGCAGTGTCATTTGTGAGTGGGAGAAGGAGGGATGAAAGAAAGATGGAGAGAAAAGACGGAGGAAAGGAAGGAGGGAAGATGAAGAGGAGGAGAAAGAAACATGAAGAAAAAGAGGGGAAGTGCTTGGGAACCCTGGGAGGGCTACAGCCTTTACAAAGTGTGAAGACCTCGGTCCTGTGTAATCTCTCTACTCTGTTCCCTCACAGCTCCTGTCGGAGTCCAATCCGGTAAGCCGTTCTTCATTCCTCTATCTCTCTGGCACCTCACTCTCTTGGGCATGGGAGGTTCTGCCTGGTGAAACCTCTTAGCAGAAGGTTGCAGGGATCTGAGGCAGGGCTGGGGTGAAGAGAGGAAGATCCAGCACCTCCCTCTCCTCCCCCTCGATCAGCTGTGCCAGGGTGGCCCAGGCTGCACCACCTCTGGTTGCCAGCTGGTGTTGGATGGGAAGAAGACTGCGTCCCGGCCCTCTCAAGACCATGAATTAGTTCCCATTTGCTGCTGAACCCTCAGACAGGAAAGGGAGTAACTGTGAAGAAAAAGCCATCTGGGTAGCCATTGGGGGGAAATGCCCTCATCCTCACCAGAAGGAGTGACTGAAAATATAGTCATAGCAGAGAGGAGCAAGAGGCTGAGGGGGTGCTCTGCAGAAGACATGAACACCCTCAAGTCTCTACTGGGGTGGAAACAATCCAATGACGAACGTGCTTTTCCTTTTTTATTGGAATTTTAATATAATGAAATAAAGAAAACACTTAGTTTCACAGTAGCCTGGGAAATTAGGCTTTCTTCTTTGGTTGAGCCATTGAGAACACATTCTTTCTACAATGTGCTGAGGAGATAATGCTTGTGTTCCTAGGTTTGTAATTGTGAACAAGAAAGTTTTTAAATTACTGGGGTGAGTGGCTCTAGATGCATCCAGTGAACTCTCAGAATTAGGGTAAAATGTGTACATAAGCATAATTGTAGTTAATTCAAGGATATACAGCTTTAAGGAAAAATCTCAGAAATCAAGACCCAAGTGTCTTTCAGTTAAATGCTTATTTCAGTCTCAGGAAAAATTGTTACAATTTTTCTCTACCTCCTACACCTTGGGATCATTTCCAATTTGGTCTCATAAATCTTATATCTCAAACATGTCTTTAATCAAACTGATTTTATTCCTAAAATATTCATAGGAATTACTGTCTGGCCTCATCTTGTAGGAAAAAGAATATTGGCCTGAAACAGTTCTTTCTTTATCAACCTTTCTGCCCAACCATCTACCTTTGTTTCTTTTATGTTTCAAAGCTGGTAAAAACTACACAAAAGCTATTTTGAGTTTGGTTGGTCACTTTGTCCTTTTGGAACCTTCTGGATGAGCATTTCCAACATGTAATTTAGATACAGAGATGTGCACAAGAAAAAAATGCATCCATAAGCAGAGCATTTTGGAGGGTGAGAAGGTGAATTGGGGTTTAGTTCAGTGCTAGAGTGCTGGGCTGGTTAGAATGTGCAAGGCCCTGAGTTTGATCCCCAGAATCTCTCCAAAAAGAGAAGAGTGTGGAGGAAGGTAAAGAAGGAAACAGGGGATGAAAGGAATGAGGGAGGAAGGAAGGGAGGGATAGAGGAAGAATTACTATTACAGATTATCATCTTTATGATATGTGCTTTAGGAATATATGCTGTAGTGTGACATTTGCTTGAGGAAGTTCTCAGTGTTTTTCATCTACATCCTTATAGGTCTCACTCTAGGGACTATGAACCCAGGTTTTTTCTCCTTAGACAGTCCTGGGGGTCAGAAGAACCAGCTGGACAGGTGTCTAAAGGTCACTTTTGTACTTATTTTCCCTGGCACTCTTACCTCACACTGGACAGTGTCCTGTGATGAAGGGTCCAATGTTTAGGGCCCATTCTTTTGAGTTTTCTCCTCCCGCTGTGGGCAGAACCAAAACCACTACACTATCCACCAATCCCTGATGATCTCTGTCCTATAGGGGAAGCAATGGCTCCACTTCTTCTTTATGGGGGTCCTACAGGGCCAAGCATGACCATGATTTGCAGATGCCTCTGAAAGAGTTTCTAGGAGATCCCAGAGACTTGGAGACATAGATTCCAGAGCTTGAGTCTCAGTGGCCCCATTAGTTCAGTCTCGGGAGAATGATATGCAATGGGAGGAGTTGACCACGCTACTAAACAAGGATTATACACAGGAGACAAGGAGAAGGGTTAATCATGGCTGCCATGGGAACCTGAGGTGTGTCAATAGGTGTAAGGAGACACAGCTGGAGTTTCTATTGGAGGGAAAAGTGGTGCTGAGGCTTGGGCCAGGGTCTTGCACAGCCAGGCAAGGGACTCCATCACTAAGCTATCCGTACCCAGTCATATTTGATGTTTATTGTGAGATCGAGTCTTACTGTCACCCAGCTCACACTGAACTTAATCTGTAGCTTAATCTGTGACCTACCTGCCTCAACTCCATGAATAGCATTCATTCCAGACCTGTGCTATCTCACTTAGCTAATGGACTCATTTTAAATTCATATTTAGTCCAGCTGTTGGGAGCTGGGCATTAAAATCTATTAACATACATCCAAACAGCATGATTGGAAAAAAAAATGCTACTAAGTGAGGTAGAGCTCACTCTGCTGAGCCAGAAAGTGTTCAGAGACAGCAGGTCCCCAGGCACTGTGAATCCTCAGCTTCTAGACACATGCAGAGCCTCTCCCTTCCCAGGAGCATCCAGGCAGGGGTAGTGTTGGTACTCTCTGTCTCCTTGCTTCCTTTGCAGACTGGTTGAAAATCAACATGCCACAACGTGTTTATGAAGGAGACCATGTAGATATAATCTGCATGGGGGTAACGAATCATGACATAAAGACACTAAAATACTTCAAGGATGGATCTCAAATAGGTACTTACAACGGTTTCTGGATCTACACCATTTCGAAAGCAAGATTCAGTGACAGTGGCTCCTATTTCTGTAAGGCAGATAGGAAAGTTTCCCTATATATGGACACGAAAGAAGAAACAAGATCTATGTGGCTTAATGTCTCAGGTAGGGATCATTCCTCAAGTGGATGTGTCTAGGGGTGAGAGTGCTTGTGTAGGAGACCAGGGTACTGGACATATGACACTAACCAGGAATGGATAAATGGTGATGGGCTGTCAGTCCTGTCCTGGAGTATGGATATGTGTGTCTTGCTCATTAGGCATTTCTGGAGGACTGTGCAGTCCGCTACTAACAAGTGGTCTCTTTGGATTCACTCTTCCCCCTCCAGAGCTGTTTCCGGCACCTGGGCTGACAGCAAGCCCCCTGCCGCCCATAGAGGGGAGTTCAGTGACCCTGTCCTGCAACACCAGGCTTCCTTCAGACAGGGCAACGACCCAGTTACGCTATTCCTTCTTCAAAGATGGACACACTTTGCGGTCGGAATGGACCTCACCGAAGTTTACGATCTCAGCAATATGGAAAGAAGACTCAGGAAATTATTGGTGTGAGGCGATGACCGCATCTCACAGTGTCTTGAAGCGGAGTCAACGGTCCTATATAGATGTGGAGAGTGAGCATCAGTGGGTTGGGCCCATGGGACTAAGTCAGGCAGGGAGAACAGAGGCAGCAGCCAGACTGCAGGCTCCTCCTCATCCCTGAGGGTAGAAGCTACCATGGCTCGCTGGGGCACTTGAACAATAGTTTTCCAAAGACTTTGCCCTCCCTTCAGAAAAGCAACAATGGTAACTTTATTCAGTAAACTAAAAGGTCAGTGAAGTACAGCCTCTGTCTGTAAGGAGAGATCCCCAGTTAGGGGATGGTACAAAGAAGGCACAAATAATATTTGAAATGACAGTAGCAGCCTATCCCTTATAAAAAGAATTACTATATTCCAGATCTGAACTAAAGCTGTTGTGTTGGGGAATATTATTTTAAGGTATGTTACATTAGTCGATACTGTGTAACATTTGTTGAGTGATGCAAAGATGTTATGCATTCTTTTATGTTGCATTTGTTTAACTCTGTGAAGCTGTGTTACTGTGCCTGTCTAAAACACCTGACTGATCTAATAAAAAGCTGAACGGCCAATAGCAAGGCAAAGGAAAGGATAGGTGGGGCTGGAAGGGAAAGAAGATAAATAGGAGGATAAATCTGGGAGGAGAGGGATCAATGAGCAAGTGAGCAAGAAGAGGAAGATGCAAGAGCCCAGCCTCACAGCCACACAGCCACACAGCCACACAGCCAGCCACAGAGTAAGAGTGAAAGTAAGATATACAGAAGTAAGAGAAAGGTAAAAGCCCAGAGGCAAAAGATAGATGGGTTAATTTAGTTAAGGAAAGCTAACTAGAAATAAGCCAAGCCAAGGCCTGGCATTTATAAATAATAAGAAGCCTCTGTGTGTATTTATTTGGGAGCTGGGTGGCAGGACCCACAAAGAGCAAAAAGACCAAAGAGTAAAGAGTGAAAAACAACCAACTCTTCTTTTGTGTTGTTCTAGACTTTCTCTGACTTTCACAAATAGCTGCAGAAGGCAGGAAGATTCACCACATCACCACAGCAAGATGCTGTTCAGAGCAGTTGAACATTTTGTCCTCAGAGTGGCCTGGGAAACAGTTTCATGAGTAGTGCCTGTAAAGTGGGTCCTGTGACCCTCCCCACTTTACAGACAAAGAAACCCAAAGCAAAGAGCTGTTCAGAGACTTGCTGAAGGAAACCCACCACACAGACCTGGGATTTAAATGTGCTTGCTCTGGCCCTAGTACATGTACTTTGAAGTACTCTGTAGCACTTCCTATCCAGCCAGAGACAGGCTGCATCAATAGTTAACAGTGCTGAACAGTTATGGTGTGATCGAGACTGCTTTTGTATGCTTCTCAGCTAATCTCATGAGAATGATTTCAGGGAGGTTCAACAAACTCTGTGTTCAGGAATTTATACCAACTTTTAAATTATCCACTTCATTGCAACTAGCCAAAGATTCTGAGCCCGGTAGACTGTTACCTCTACTGTCAAATCTTTTTTTGATCATTAGCCTTTTCAAGGTTTTTATTGTTTTAAAACACTGTTTTGTTACAGGGCTATTATTATAGAGCTGAGGATGACTGAGAGGGTAAGTTCCCTTACTGCACATATGTGAGGGCCTGTGTTTGGGTCCTCACTGCTTCCCTGGGCAAGGCTGCTTCAGGGAATGGAGACAAGACGACCATATGGTTTGCTGGCTACCGGACTAGCTGAAACTGCTGAGATGGGGTCCTGCGGAAGACTCTGTTTCCAGAGAAGAGAGCAGGGAGCTTAGTGGAAGCAGCGAGGCGTCCTCCTCTGGCATCCTCGTGCACACGTACACTGTACACACATATGCTCCATTCAGCTCCTCACACAACAGTTTATGTGCTTTGCCCCTCAAAGATGAGCTAAATAGGAAAGTCTAGATTTTCAAATTTATCACAGACTCTTGAGCACCTTATCTGGTGTTTAGTTTCCAGTGTGTGACTATGTTCTCTCCTCACTTTTAATGTGCCTGAATGGCCCCCTTTTCTCACCAGATTTACTGGAGGTCTTTCTATTGCATTGTTCTTTTTTTTAAATTTGGGTTTCCTTTTAAATTTTTACTTTTCAAGTCAATATCATCTTATTCATCCAAAGTATTTTTCTAATTCATATACTTCTTTTTCAGCTTTTTGTTTTCTAACAAGTGTATTTAAAACTATGTTTTCCTCCAAATACTACCATTATCTCATTTTAAAATTTTTGATGTATGATGTCTTCATTTGCTTATTGTCTACAATATGTGTAATATAGTCTCTCAATTATTTTATACAAAATTTATAATTTCTTATAAATAAATATTATATCAATCCTTTATTATTAATTTTTTAGATATCCATTTGTTCTTGTATTTAGCATTTATTAAAATCCTACATTCTTTTTTTTATTTTTTTT